GGATCTCGAATCTCGAAGCGCGAATCTCGAATCTCGAATCTCGAACGAGGCGATAGGGAACGCGACTAAGTGCGGGCCGCCATTGCACCAAGCCGCTTCCCGACTGAGAGTCGTCCCTCTCTCTCGCACCCCTATGAGAGCGAGCGAGACAGAGCCATCAACCTGCTCGTCGCGCTTTTGTCGCCGGCCGCCGGAAATGGCAACGCGTGCTCGGCGCGCTCGCGCTCGGCCACGCGGCACAACATCCTCTCCTCGGCGCCCGCGGCTCCGCGCCCGCCCGCCTCCCACTCGCGGTCACGGGCATCGCGCAGCATCGCGCAGCATCGCGCAGCGTCGCGTCCCGACGTCGTCCTCGGCCCGTCTATTCCACTTTTCAGCCGCGCTTCCACCATCCGCGCCGCTCGGCCGAAGAGAGTGCATTAGGCTTTTGTCAGGTTATTGACATTTTTACTCGCGGGCTGCCCATTAATAAAATCCCCCTCCCCCTCACCCCTTCCCCTCCGACGGACTGCTGCCCCCAATTACCCGACGGACTGATGATGGCTGGCTTTTGAATTTGGCGCGTTCCTTTGTCTCGCCGCCACGCCCCGCCACGCCCCGCCACGCCCCGCCACGCCCCGCTACGCCCCGCCAGTCGGACGTCCAAACAACGCCGTAACTACCACCCTCCCCTATCGGAGTTGGCCGGACTCTGCTCTCCATCGCCGTCACGATGATGATGATGACGATTCGGAGTGCGACCCGTATTGTCGCGTGGGTTCGAATATCAGCCGCGCGGGGGCCTTTTGGGCCTTCGTCCGTCCGTCTGTCTGCCGGTCCGTGCCTTCCGAATTGGTGGTGCCAAATGGCTGGCAAGTGGCCGCCCCATCCATTACAAGCAAGGCATGCACGCGGCAAGTGGACCGGCATGTATCCCGTTACGGTTGTACGTATGATATGGGCGCGGCCTGTAGTAATTGTTGGAGCTTGGAGCCGAGCCGCCTCGTCCCCGGAGCCCGCCCTGCGCCGCCCCGACGACTCGACGAGCCGACGAGTTCGAGACTATCGAGACTGTCGAAACTGCCGAGACTATCGAGACTATCGAGCGCCCGTTTGAGGAGAATCATACAAAGTTTGTCAGCCGATTGGCTTCATCGTTGGCAAGCGCTTTCGCGTGGCGTGCCGTGCCGTGGCGTGCCGCGCCGCGCCGCTCGCGTGAGTTGATGTGCCTCGCAAATGTAGCCAAGCAGAGACCAAACTTTTCGCGCCTTTCCTCGCACGCTGGCTCCCTTATTTCTCTTTCTCTGATATTTTTCTTTCCCTCTGTTTTTTTTTCTCCTCCTCGTCGTCGGAGGAGGCGCAAGCGGCGCGAGCCTTCGCACATGGCGAGCGCGTCGAGCACGCACGCACGTCGTCTGCGTCTGTGTGTGTGGCAGTAAGCCGCGTAGGAAAGACATGGCGGAAAAAAGAAGGGACGTCTTGGACTCGAGGCCGTCGAAGGACGCTTTGCATTTGGAATTTAGGCGGTGCAGTGTGGCCAGACTTACGCCATCCCATCGTTCCTGGGCCTGTCCGCCGCCGAGCAGGCCTCGATGTTGGCGGCGGGGCGGCGTGGTGGCCGTGGTGGTGGCCGTGGTGGTCGCGGTCGCCCTGTGGCCCGTCTTCCCAAGTTTCCCCTGATACGTCACTCCGTTTCCCCGCTCCCCGTCAGCCGGCACCACGGCACCATTGTACTCCCCCGCGTGACGTCACGCGTCAGAGAGGGGAAGTTTGTGTGTACACTGCCAACAAATTACCGGGTCAATCAAACATTTACGCGCGCCGCCGACTACCGCCAGGTAAAATTTACTGAGTAATTACTGTGGTTTCCGCTCGGGCGACCGGCTCGGTCGGTCTGTCGAACAAGAGGATTAAAAATGCATGGAAGCAGTGAAGAGAGGCTTTTGTTCTTCCCGTCCCCGTTCGTGCGGGTAGTCCATTCCGATTTCCGGCACGGCGGAAGATTTCTGAAGCGGCCATTGTATGGAGGCTGCGTCTCGGCTGCGCGAGCCACATCGTGGCGCACGCGAACCGAGTGGCGAGCAGTCGGACTGGAAGCTCGAAGCTGGAAGCCTGCGGCGGGGCGCCTGCAGCCTGGAGAAGGGAAGGGAAGGGGGAAGCTGCAATATCGAGCACCCTTCCCGGCCTTCCCAGTGACTGTGCAGCAGAGCAGGGGCTTCGGCCTTTGGGCTTCGTTGGCCCTCAGGGCCGTGTACGCTGCGGATAAGCGGGGCGGGGCGCCGAGCCAGGCTCCTGGAACATGTTTCAGCACGAAGCCGCTATGGCCCGCGACTGCAGCGACCGCCTCCGAACTCGAACGCGCCGTGATGAATGGTTCTGACGCAGCCCCGCCTTGCCAGCCTTGCCAGCCTTGCCGCCCCAGAGGGCCCAGACAGTGTGTCACTCGCAGGTGTGGCGCGGCGCGTTGAGTCATTGTGGGTGGTCAGTGCCGTAAGGACTCCCCCACTCCGGCCGGGGTGCGTGCTCGACGCACCGACACACCACCGCAACTTTGCGGTCTTGTCGCCCGCGGTCGGTCGCTGCAGCACTTTGGCGGCCCGGGTTCGACTCCCGCCGCCAGCCGGCGCTTTCACTTTGGCCGTCGCACTGGGAGGCTGGGAGGCTGGAGGGCTGCGGGGCGGAACACCACTTAAATGCCGTGTCGCTTTAAATATTCACACCGCCGCCCGCCCCGCTCCGCCCGCGCCGCCCCCGTCGCGTAATGGGCCTCTTTCTTTATTGACCCTTCCGTCCTTCTCGGTCCTTTCCGCAGTCCCTAGTCGTCGCGCTGGTTGTTGCTCGCGTTGTTGTTTTTATGTTTTTTTTCGGCCAAGACGGCGAGCGGCGAATTAGAAACGAGAAAGGATTTCGGTGTGGGCAAGAGATAAGGAGGCAAGGCGAGCCAAAGGCTGCCTGGCTGTGCTGGTGGTGCGGGCCGGGCCAGGGCGGGCCAGGGCGGGCCAGGGCGGGCCGGCAGGGTAGTCTTAGGGTCGGATAGTCCCTTCATGACGGAGGAGGAACCAAATGAAAAAGCAGAGTTTACACTCCCCGCCACTGGAAGGGCTGGCGGTGCTGGCGGGGCTGGCGGGGCTGCTGGGAGGGCTGGAAGGGCTGCTGGGCTGTCAAACACGCGGCCCCCTCGGGGCCCATGCAGGCCGAAGCAGGATGTGAGGCCCCTGCAGGGCCGCGGGGGGCAGCCCGGCAGCCCGGCCCTTGGCCCTCGGAGCTCGGCGGTGAGCGCGGTGAGCGCCCTCCTTGAGCCCCACCTGAAAAGCGGGGCGTCCGCGGCGACCCTTTGCAGTGGCGTCGGCGCGTCGGCGGCGTTCCGGTCGCGTCGACACGTCCCGACACTTCCGCGAACTGCGTTCCGCTGTTTCCGGCGTGTAGTGGCGGGCCCCGCGGCCCCCGGACCCCCGTCACGCCCTGCCCCCGCGCACGTCGCGGTCGCTTAGCTGTCTCCGCCCGCGCCCCGCGCCCCGCAGCAGCCTCCCCAGAGGCCCCGGGCCGCGCCGCGCCCCCGCGGGGTGGCCGCGCCAGACTCCCGGATGCAACGAACGCGGGGCTGGCCGAATGAATAAATAACGCAACGTGCGTGGGGGCACCGCGCCTACGGGGCGGTTAGCGGGCCGCCCTCGCCCTCGCCCTCCAACTCGAACCTCGCTCGGCCCAGCCAGGCACGCCAGGCGGGGCGGGGAGCGCGCCGTGCAGCAGGCAGCCCGTCGGACGGCCGTGCGGGCGAGTGGCCTACCCGCCGCGCCGCAGGGGTTCCCGGACTGGCGGCGGCGGCGGTGCGGCGCTACCATTCGGATTGGGGTTCGTGTCGCGGCACGGCACGGCCACATTCAGATTGGGGTTGCGCTGCTGCGCGACGCACACAATGTCTCCCTTTGTGCCCTAGGCTGCCTGTGCTGCCGGCGCGGCTGGCGTGCCCTACTTGACGGCGCGGGGGTCGGGGTCGGCGTCTTATCAGATGGACTGGGACGTTGCGGCGGCGGGGCGACCGCCGGGGACCTCCCCCGCCCCGCTGCCACAGCCGCTGCTCCGTCGCGCCCTGCGGCCTTACTTTATGGCTGGGCGCCGAGCCGGCCGAGACGAAGATGTCCAACCTGGGCGAGCCTGGGGCTGGGGCTGGGCCTGGGCTGGGTCGGGCCTACGATATACTGCAGGAATATTCAGGACCTGGCAGTGCCTGTCGCGATGTTCCTCCCCCGCAGCTCCGCCCGGCGCAAGGCGAGACTGCGCTACACCGGTTGGTTACCTACCTTCGCCGTGGACCGCTCCTTGTCCTTTCTTCTTCCTTTTTCTTTTATTTCGCCGTCTTTTTGCGACCTGCAGCTGCGTGCTGCCCCGGTCCCTGCTCCCACGGGGGTGATGAGTCATGAAAAATTTTGGCTGTAAAGCTCGGCTGGGTAGTACCGTCGCCCGGACCGAGGCTAGAGCAACCTGCAAAAACAGTGTCTGGCCCAGTCTGCTTCAGTCTGCGCCGCGCCGCGCACTTCGGCCAACTCTCGGCGCCGACAACTTCCGTGTGGCCGGGCTCGGTATTTAATTGGCGCAGCGTGGCTGCGAGAAAAAAAGGGGGAAAAGTGAGAAAGGAGTGGGAAGTAGGAAGGAGGAGGCGGCGGCGCCCCACGGCGAGCACTGGCCGGGCAGGGTGCGGGACGAGCAGGCCGAGCTGGCCGGAGCTGGCCAGCATGCGGGAGGGAGGGCGCCGCAGGAAGTCGTTTTTGCGCGCAAGAAACGCGCGTCCCTCCACCGGAAACTCCGGACGCATGCTGCTGAGGCTGCTGATGGTGCCCAGCCGGCCTCTGTGACGAGCGCCGGGCGCCGACGGGCCGTTTCCGGGCAGGGCCAGGGTGCCAGGCCAGGGTGCGAGGGTAGTCCAGGGCCCGGGCCGGCCCGTCCGGGCTCCGGGGGCGTGGCGTGGCGTGATTACAGAGCGAGCTAACACTGTGTGCGTGTGTGTGTGTTTGGTGTTGCAGATGAGGCCCCGTCGGGCGAGAGCCGCGGCCACTACGTGCGCGCCCCCATCTTCCAGCAGTCCGTCACGCTGACCGCCAAGATGTGGCCCGAGGTGAGTAGCGCACAGTGTACAGTGTGGTGGGTGGCGGGAATGGAGCCGTGCTGCGCGGTGCGGCGGCCAGTGTGCTGCAAAGTGGAAATTGGCTCCACATTTTGCTCTTATTAGCCCTGCCGCGGTGCCGGGGGGCTGTACGCGCCTAGTCACGCACAGGGTGGGGGTGGGGGGTGGTGCCGGGCGAGGCGAGGCGGGCCAAGAAGCAGGCGTGAGGTCCTAATCGGATGACGAGGCCGTCGTCTGCTCCCCGCGCCCCGCGTCACGAGAAAGAATAGGCCGGCCAGCCTTTCTGCTCGCTGGCGGCAGGGCTGGCGGCAGGGCCGGGACAAGGCCTTCTTGGGCCCTTCGGTCTGCCAACGTGGGCCTGGGCCGCGCCCTAATCCCCTAAGCCCTTTTTGCTCTCCCTTTAATTCATGAACTGGGCCGGGCGGGCAGGCAGGCAGGCCGCGCTGCGGGGGCGCAGGGCGCAGGGCGCAGGGCGCAGGGCGCAGGGCGCAGGGCCGGCGAAGGGCGCAGGGCGCAGGGCGCAAGGGCGAAGGGCGCAGGGCGCAGGGCGCAGGGCGCAGGGCGAAGGGCGCAGGGCGCAGGGCGCAGGGCGCGGCGGCCGTATACCGCGACGCCCTTTGAAGCCCCGCCGCGTGTTTGTGTTGCCGTTCTGCAGTGAGCCAGTGGGCCGCACCCCGCACGCACGGCGACCTTCACCGCCACGGACATGGACCGCAAGCGCAAGGCCGTGGCCGACGGCCGCGTCGATCGGCCATCGTCCGGGCTGGACGGACCGGCCCACCGGAGTGTCATGTTTATTCCACTCGGGCAATAAGATGCAAATGGGGACGCCGGGCAGCGGGAACTCGGGTTCGACTCCCCCGCGCTGCAAATCGGCTTTGCACTGAGGCGGCAGCGCGGCAGCTGGGATCGAACTGGTGGTCGCCGCTGGATCCGCGGGGACGTGGGGGCACAGCCGAGTGCGGCGGGGCAGGGGTCGGGCTCTGTGACTTATTGTGCTGCGGTCGAGCTGGCCGCACGGGGTTTAAGCGCCCCCTGGTGACTCCGCCCCCACCCCGCCCCACCTGCCCCTCCCCGATCACGGCACCTTCCCCCCAATAACGTACACACTCTCCAGCCACGGCTGGACGAACACCACGTTAATCAAGACCAATGATGCGACATGGCACACCCCACCCCGCCACGCCACACCGTAAAAACAGGAGAAATATCGCCGGTGTTGGCCCGGCCGTCTTCCTGCCAGCGCCCCTGCAGTGCGGCGGGTAGGCAAACCGCCGGCACGCCTACGGGACGGGTGGCCTATCCTTCATTACCATTACCATTACGGGCTTCCTGCCGCCGCTGCTGCTGCTGCTGCTCCACTCCCTGTTCCCCGTCTTTCATACCGGAGTCCGCTCTGGCCCCCCGCGGTCCAGGGCTATTCTCGCCTGCGCCCTTACCTGAAAGCGCCCTTTTTTTCCCTTTTTGTCCTCCGGCCTCCCTGAAAAGACGTCGAATGAGGCGGAGGTAGGACAGAGCAGGTCATCGGCGTCCTGGGTTTCAATCTCCCCCTCCCCTCCGGCCTCCCTGAAAAGACGTCGAATGAGGCGGAGGTAGGACAGAGCAGGTCATCGGCGTCCTGGGTTTCAATCTCCCCCTCCCCTCCGGCCTCCCTGAAAAGACGTCGAATGAGGCGGAGGTAGGACAGAGCAGGTCATCGGCGTCCTGGGTTTCAATCTCCCCCTCCCCTCCGGCCTCCCTGAAAAGACGTCGAATGAGGCGGAGGTAGGACAGAGCAGGTCATCGGCGTCCTGGGTTTCAATCTCCCCCTCCCCTCCGGCCTCCCTGAAAAGACGTCGAATGAGGCGGAGGTAGGACAGAGCAGGTCATCGGCGTCCTGGGTTTCAATCTCCCCCTCCCCTCCGGCCTCCCTGAAAAGACGTCGAATGAGGCGGAGGTAGGACAGAGCAGGTCATCGGCGTCCTGGGTTTCAATCTCCCCCTCCCCTCCGGCCTCCCTGAAAAGACGTCGAATGAGGCGGAGGTAGGACAGAGCAGGTCATCGGCGTCCTGGGTTTCAATCTCCCCCTCCCCTCCGGCCTCGCTCCCTCAGCCGCCGAGGCATGGCGAAAACAAAAGTGTGAGTGTCCCGGCTAGCCCTGGCGGCCATGCCCTGGCCATGCCCTGACTGGCGGTCCTCGTGTCAAAGTACAGCAAGCCAAGTTTTCCGCTGGCGCAGTGTTGTCTCGTAGTTTCCGCCCTGGCCCTTGCCGAAACGGCTTCAAAAAATAGTTGCGCAAGTATTCTAAAAGCGGCGTGGGCCTCGGCGCCGCTTTGACCAGGCAAGGCAGCTGCGCCGGCTGCGCCGCGCCACTCTGCTGCGCTTCTTCTTCTCCTCCCCCTTCTTCTTCTTCGCTGCGCCGAGGCTGCCGAGGCTGTGCCGCCGCGCCCCTTTGGCGTTCCTTGCCTTTTAAATGTGAGGTGGCCGGTGAGGGGCCGGGGCCGTGCCCGGGGCCCAGGCTGGGCCCTCACTGAGGGTCGCTAAGCGCCTGGGGTACCCTTGTGAAGCACTCGACGCCTGCCTGCCTGCCTGCCTGTCCTGCAGTGCGGCCTCGCCACGCCTCTCCTCGAGAGCCCCCTGCCCCCGCAGTGCAGCGGTGCAGCGAGCCCCTTACACACAGACGCGGCACGCGGACATCCCCCTGCGCCCTGCAGTGCCCTGCCGCATGCGGGGCCGAGTAATGAGCCCAGCCGCGCCATTTTCACCCCCGCAAATCGAGTGACTGAGCGAGTGACACTGTGGAACCAACGCGCGAAGCACTCGCCGCGGTCCTCTTCCTTCTCGGTTGCAGGTTGCAGGTGCACTCCACTGTTCCGCGGGCCGTAAACCATAAACCTTTGTTGTTGTTGCAGGAGGGCGACGGGGCGGGCGGCAGCGCGGGCGGCTGGTCGGCCTGGCGGGTGTCCGGGGAGCACCTGCCCCTCGTGGTGGGCGGGGTGGCCGGGGGCGCCCTCATCGTCATGCTGGTCGTGGCCGCCGTCGTCTGGAGGCTGTGCGTCCTGCGCCGCGACAAGCAGTACCGTGAGTACGCCGCACCGGCCGCACGCCGTGCGGGGAAGGGTGGGAAGTGAAGGAGGGGCGGACCTGGAAATGGAAAGATTAAGGGGTGGACTGGACGGGCGGGGACAGGCGGACGGTCCGGCTTCGATCCCCGCCAGGAAATGAAGCTCTCCAGCACGTAGCACGTTGCGTCGACGGCCGGCCCCGCGCGCCCCGCGTGTCGTGTCGCAGATGAAATAATCGTGTTGAACCCTCCTGTCGCGCATCGCGCATCCCCGTCGCAGAGACGAGCCCGGCGGCCGTGACTCGTCGCCGCCTTGCCGCTCACTCACTCCGTGCGGTATAAGTCTCTCTCTCTGTTTCCCGTATGGGTGGGAGGGGGACAGCGACGGGGCCTCCGTGCCCCCGCGCGGCATCGGCCTGCTGTCATGGCGTGTCCCCGTCGCGTCCCCGTCGGGGCGCTGCGCCGCGCCGCGCTTCCCTCGCGTGCCTCGCGCCTCGCGCGACGGCGGGGCGGACAGCTCGGAGGACAATCTTCTAGCTCTGCTACTGCATTTGCATCCAGTGAGTAATGGCGTCTCCTCCCTGCCCCAGGTGTCCGTATGGGAGAGTGTGCCCCGGAGCCGCGGCCCGTTCAGCCAGTAATGCCGAGGTAAGAAAACTCTTTCCCCCACCCGCGTCGTGCGAACACCACACACACACACACACACACACCCACGTACACTCACATCATACACCCACTTACCCGTGCACACACGTTACGCTTATACTTTATTTCTCGGGGGTTGCTGTGTTCCAGAAGGCCTGGAATGTGTTTGCACTGGTTTTTCAACATAAAATATTACTTTCCAGAGCGAAAAACATCCCCTTCCCGGCCCCGCCTCGCACCCCGCTCCGCCCGCGCTGCCATGCGTGCCTGGCATTCCCGCCGCTATTCCCCGTATCGACAAGGGGGAAGGGGTGGGGGAGGGCGCCGACCACACATGCCAGTGTGGGCGGTGTGGGCGGACTGAGGTGATAGGGGCGGTCGCTTGCACGAGTTGCGGGTTGCGGCCGCCGCTTCGGCTCAATAATTTCGCCCGGGTGTACTCACACGGAGTGTCTGCGGGCCTTGCACGCTGGACACACACAGACACACACTCAGACACACACACACACACCACTCAGACGTTCAGATGACAGTACGTGTGGGTTTACTCCCATTCCAACCACCCTCGGTTTCTGTTCCAGCGAGTCTGCGGTGTTCGCGTCGCCCGTGTCCGGCCGCTGGGCCTACCAGAGCCGCTTGCTGGGCTCCCCTCACGGGGGCAGCGGGGGCAGCGGGGGCGACTGCTCCCCCCGGGGCACGTCCACGCCCCCCGCGGGGCTGCGCTCCCCCGTGCCGGGAACGCCCCCGCCGCAGGCCTGGGTCTACGGGGACACCATCGTCGCGGACCCCCTGCAGCGCGACGCCTTGCAGGCCATGCACAGAGCGGCGTCGGCGTCGGCCTCGGCCTCGGCCTCGCCCAGCCCGGCGGTGCACCGCTCCATCAGTCTGCAGCTCGCTCAGCAGGTGGGTGTTCTCGGTGCAGACAGCCCAACAGCAGCCAACAGTCGCAGACGCTGGGCCGAGGCAGGCAGGCGCTGAGCGAGCGAACACGGCCAGTGGACCGTCGTCAACAGACGCGCTGCTGTGCGTTGCTGGCGTTGCTGCCGCTGCGAGCCGCGCCTGTCTGCCTTGCGCCCGAGGAGCATGGCCGAGTCCGTGGCACTCGCCGCTGCGGCCGCTGCCTGGCTCCGAGACGCTTCGGCCACCGGCTCTCACTTCTTGCTGGGCTGCTGCTCGCCCCGATCGTCCCGACGGTACTGCGCGCAGAACGACGACGTCGACCGCACGGTAACAAGGGGGCCCTTCCCTCGGCACCGTGTGCAGGGTGTGCAGCAACACGCAGTCAACGGCGTCAGCGGGGAGGGGTGCAAATGGCGATGCCGGGCGATGCGGTATCGTGTGCGACGGAGAGGGAGAATGGGCTGCAGTCACGCCACTGGGACGGGGTGGGGGTGAAATACTAGTGAAACAGGCGAGGTGAGGTGAAGCAACTCCAATATCGCCTCCGTCACTGCCCATGTCCATGCAGTTCGGGTCGGGGCGCTGGTCCCCGACTCGCCTCCTCGACGCCATGGAGGCCGTGGTGGCGAATGCGTTCGAGTAACGCCGCCGTCCGCAGGAAGTCTCGTCCACCCACCCGGTTCCACCGATTGACACATTTCTCTCACCTGCTTCCAGAGCCCCGTGTCTCAGGGCGGGCGGCGCGGCTACCCACACGGCGCGGTGCACGGCGGGGCCCACGGCGCGGGTTACGGCCCGAGCCGGCACCCGGGGCGCCCCCTCAGTGTGGTGAGCTCCATGGGCAGCTACTCGGCGGGCTGCAGCCCGGCCACGCCCCGCCACTCCGCCGTGCTGCCGCCGCCGCCACCGGAGTTCCTCCTGCCGGACATTTGCGAGTTCAACCCCGGCGCCGGTGCCGCCTCTGTGGGCCCCGGCGCCGCCGCGTCGGCCCAGTACGCCTCCAGCAGCGGTAAGAGTCGGATCCACCTGCATGAACCTTAGGTAAATTCAAACCGGAAATGTAGCGAGCTGGTGCCAGCGCTTAAGCCGCTATTTAGAGGTCCCACGCTGGTCCAGATCGGCCGCTATTCTGATTTTTGTTATCATTCCAAAAGTGGGCGGCAAGGAGCAAGTTTTCTAATGGAGGCGCGCCTTTTGTCCCTCAGTCCTGGATGACGCTGGCTCGCTGGACGGCGACAGCCTCTCAGAAGCACTTCGCACTCGGTCGCTGCCTTCCAGTGTGAGGAACAAGCAGAGGCCCATCGCGTCTGAGGAGGACCTGGACCAGTTGTACGCCAAGGTCAACTTCAGCAAAAAGCGGAAGAACCGAATGCGGCACGACGAGGCCGCCATCATCGCCATCAGCAAGTCCAGGAGCCAGTTCCTGGACAAGGTGGCCACCGACACGGAGACCCTCGTGGACAACGAGGCCGTCATCGTGTACAACGAGCGCACCGCGCTGTAGGGCCCCAGGCCGCCCCGCCGCCCCAGGCGTGGTGCAGCCCCTTGTCTTTTGCGTCAGATGTGGACAATCAAGTGATTCATCGGATGCTAAGTAAACGCGAATAATTTCCACACGGTTGAGTTGTGTGGTTGACTGATGTATGTATTGATTTAATAATAAAATGTCGTGATATTTATATTTGGAAAGTCGTACGTATTCCGACAAAGTATTATTTCCTTGACTTGTTCAAGGTAATCCCATGGCCCATGGACATTCAGCTTGCTGCGCCAAAGGAACCAAATGTAGGTACTGGTGCGGCAGGTTAAATAATAACTCAACCAAATAAACTTAATTTTATATCTTCATTCTTTTATTTGCTTGTTAGGACAAGTTTAGTATAAACACTTTTTGCACATCTCTCTTCAGTACCAGACATCTCTTCAGTATGCTTATGGTCCCTTGTCCTTTCTCCAATGTTTCAGTATAAGTGTTCCACAATTACATTTTGTTGGCCTGTACCCAGATTTGGCAGTTGCCGAAAGAAATAGGTAGAGTTCTACATTAAAACATAACATGGAAACGATACTGTAAACAAGATTTACCAAGGTAATACTGCGCTTAAAATGAGCTGTAACGGCATAGCATGGGCTCTTTAAAAATGTAGTGTTTTGAGGCCTTTTCCTCTCTTCCACACATACTACCTAAACATTTGTATCACAGATGGAGAGATGAGTAATCAGTTTGACAATCACAGACAGATGATAGAACATTTGTAAACCACAGCTAGTACAAAATAACTCAAAACTGGAGTCAAAGAAATAAGCTTGTAAAGCAAATCAAATTTAGTACAGGATCTATGAACCGGAGTGCTTCAGTTCACAGCTGTGCTGTGGAAGTTCAGGGCAGAACAAGAGGGTCATTCCAGTTTATCACACGACTGTGCCCTGCCAGCCACCTGTCATATTGCGCCAAAAATGAGTAATAAAAGGCACTAGAAACAAACAAACAAAAAGAAGTTATAAAATTGATTTAGAAAACCCATTTGGATCACTATCACAACTTCGAATTCATTCATGTACAGGTCAAATTATTGTGGATGCCATAAAATTATTATACAAGTATAAAATCACGGTTTAAAAACACTATCCAAATAGAATGAATCAAAAGTATGAATGAACACAATGGATTTTCGCAGCGTGCAAACAGTTTAAGGAGTTAACACAATAATAAAAAATAATAATACATTCCCACTCTCAGATTCTCACAAATATGGACTCAAGAATAGGAGGGGTATGACAACAGAGCAGCAACAAAAAAGCATCCAGACTTCTCTCAGGCCATCTATCTGATTGCTTAAGATAGATCACAAATTTAAAATATTTACAAGAAATTAAATATTAAAGAAAGAAAAATAATACAAAGAGATGAGGCTTTGGCTCTACTATTTCACAATAGTAGTGCATTCCATCTCATGTTGAAGCATCCAACAAAAGATATGAAATTCATTACAAACTTTAAACATAAATACACATCCTTTAACTTAAAAGATGGCAAGCAGTGCAGTCTGGGATGTTACAAAAATGGGGGAGGGGGGAAGCAGAAAACAGACATGTTTTGTTTCATATCAATGCAGGGGATTTTGCTTTTAAGTCCATGACCCTGCAAGTCACTTGTAAATTGATGCAACAACTGCTTGGCACTCCTGAATGTAAAAGCATTAAATAATCAATCAGCTCTTTGTGAAAATAAAGCTCAAAGCAATTTATGCAAAAAAAAAAAAAGATTAAAAAAAAACAGTTGATAGACAGTAAAATAAAAGTGGTGCCTCTGAGGATATAAATTAATGAGGGTTTACAGAGGTAAACAAAGTTTCTTTTTCCACAGAAAATTCATGCTTCTCATAGTTCCAATTAAATGTATCCAATTAAAGATTTAGCATAAAATACAAGTAAGCTATGTCAAGTATGCGAACAAACAGTAAGAAAAAACATTATGTCAGGAGCATGAAGGAAGAGATGTTTCATGTTCTTTCTCAACTCCAAGTAAGGTACACATAATTGACATAACTTTTCTTGTCCTGTCTGACTGACAAACTGTTAACTCTACTCATGACCTCATGATTAAGTACCAGAAACAACCAAATTAAAATATACACAAATTAACATGTTCACTCCAAAACAAGAACCACAGTTCTCGAATTGAATGTGTTAAATGTTAATATATGCAGGGTACAATGTCATGAGCTTTACTAAGAGATACTTGGGGGCCGTTCAAAATAACATTATGCTGATTTGAGGCCACTAACCAAATCCCACAGGAACTTAAACTGAACACATTGGTTGTAAGGAAACCACTTGTGGAACCAATCTAAAACTTTACATTTTTGTTTCCTGAAAAAAGCATAATGAAATTCATGGACAGCCAGACCATTTGGCAGCATGCAAATAACATTTCAATATTCACGCAAGTTTTTGTCTTACATTGTCATTTCAGTTCTACGAACAGACAAAAGTGAACAACATTGTAAATACACCTCTAAGATTTGGCCTAGAGGCACAAAATTCCATGATTTTGACAAAAGTGAACCATGCTAAATGAAAATATATGAATGACTACGTAATTATTCATAATTAAATGAGTTTCATGATCTATCATCTGGTGAAATTAAAGGAATATGAAAGCTACCACAATCTTCTCAATGCAAGAAACACATACTCAACTTGATAGGATTTACACAGGACATAACAATACAATGTCTATACATTTGTACAAGACTTAAAGTTCAGCTAATTAACAGCCTACACCAGCACACTGAATGCTGCCCGGTCAACACTGTCAGTTTCCTTCATATTGATTCACAATTATTCCTAGGGGACTATTGAATAGATAAGAAGACTGCAAAGACTGTACATACTTCTTCCACCAAACCAATATTTTATCATTTGTTCACTGATTAAAACTCAAGACAGCTATTTACAGTGAGTTTTTTTTTGCTTTGTACAAATTGACAAGATTTGTTTCATTCGTTTTTTAATCACGAATGCTACAGAACTTGTATTACACATGTTGGTTTTGAAAACAGGAACAGACATAAACTTGAGCGGCTTCACCTTATATTGGGCACACAACACTCTCGCGGATTGGCTTAGTAATGCTTCTTGAAACATTTATGTCCTCATGGGAAGGCTTCAGAGAATTTAGATGTTAAAAATTAGTTTCTGGAGGGAGATATGTCCATCAAAACCATATTTGGGAACCAAGTAAAATGAACAATAAATTTGACATGGGGAGACAAGATATGAACAGGCGAGAGAAACAAGTCTTACAATTGGTGTTTGGGAGCGAACTATTCCAATGTTTTCTGGTAATGCAAGCTTCTTCATGAAGCTTGTTCATGCGATTCCTGACAACGGCCACGAGTGGGTAGCTTTAGGAGTTGGCGAAGCCTTGTAATCCAACCAGCCCGCTCATGAGCCGAAACCCTTTGTCAGGCATTTGAAGAAGGGAGGGGGGAAGGCACACAAGGAGAAGGTGAAGGTGATTCTGCCTTCTCTTCATCTGCCTCCCCCTCCATTACAGGTAGTCACAGTTTCAGTTCATTAGCTATCTTGGATGCAATATTTTTGAAGCCAATTGATGTTCCAGATATGCGCTTGAAACGAACACCATTCAGAGATAGTCGAGGAAGTTTACACACTTCAATTTCCCACTGGACTAAGGAGTCTGTGTTTGGGTCTCCGTGAACACACAGAAGAAGGAATCTTTCCCGCTGCTCATAGTCACAGTTGTTGGCGTCCAGCACCTAACATAAAAACACAAGTTTTATAAAAAATTATTCAATTTTGATTTTAAAGATTAAAAAGCAACAAATGTGAATGAACAATCATTTTTACCTTTCTAATTTCTGACATGATTTCATTTGGGTCCCTGGATGACGTAGTTTTCATACTCCAGGTGAATCTTAGAGAGCGTGGTTTGGCTTGATCATCATTTACTGCACCACTGAAGAGAAAGAAAACAATCAATCAAAATAATGAATGTCTATCTTCCACCATCCCATCACCTCATAGCCAAAATTTCTACAGAAAGGGTTAAGGTCTGCAGTTGTCATATTTCTTCTTATAAGTGGCTAAATCCATTACCATAAGATATACAAAGAAAGGAGAGAAAATTCAAAGAAACAATTTTGATGCAGACAGCCCAGAACCAGTTTCTTTACATTTCTCTAGCTGTTTAGGATAAGTGGATAGCTGAAAGAACCAACACCTGGTATGTGTGGAGTCCCAGCCTACTCAGAATAACGCCAAGAAACACTCGAACAATTACACCTTACGATGTATTAATTTGTGGTCAAATCACAGATGAAAAATAAAAAAGAAACTAACAAATCCTGAACATTTATCCCTTAGTCCTATAATTTGCAAGACTTAAAAAGTACACAGTATGCTGCAGAAGCTCATGCTTGAAATACTGGCTCAAAATAGACAATATCTACCACCACCATGAACACAAGTAGTACACAGCTTTAACTGAAATCGAGAAGCAGCATAAGGACTACCACATCAAAGCAGAATAGTATTTTTGGAAACCAACAAGATTATTATTGCAGTAAAAATAGAAACATCTTAAAAGAACAAAATAGAGCCGCTTCAGGCAGAAAAATGGATTGGAAGAAATATATATTAGAAGTTATGGTTCACTTAGCAAGAGACTAAGAGACTATGATAGAGATTTTGACAAAAGGTGGTTCACTAGTAGGCAATTCCAAATGTCCCTTAGGTCAAGAAACCATTATTGTATGCATTGACAGAAAGAGAGAAAAATGGATAGTGAAGAAAGATGCCAATAGTTTAATAGTTAAAATCACTAATGCACTTCCATTCCATGTGCAAAAGATGGTGAATAGTCAATAAGAAACATGCAAAGTAAAATAAAAAAAAGGTCACAATTCTAAGACATACCTAACTAAATGCTTAGGAGGCGGATCCATGGGGCTGAAATTAAAACATAAAAGAAAAATCAAATATAAAAATTCCATTCAAACACATAGTAGCAAGAGCAAAACACAAATGCACACACGACCGAGCAAACATTCACAGTGAGGCAAAATCCTGAACTTAGTAAATCACTACAACACCTTTTATGGGGTCAAATTACGTTACAACCAAATACCAAGCAAGCTGAGACAATAGAACACTACAGTATGTTGCAGTAGTGCTGGGATTTAAGTATCGTATTTAAAGCGGAAAAATGTCACTACAAATGGCAATTAACCAATACCGCATATTTGATTAAGACATGCCTTTCATACACCATCTTACACTGCAAAATAGTACCTGAGGGGATGGGGTAATAACTATAGGGCAACAAAAGGAGAGGTATGTTTTTCCCAAATGGAGAGAAGTTAAACCAGCCATGGTGCAAATAAGAAAACCAAAAACAAAATGAACTCACTTATTTGTTGAGAAATGAAGATTAGAGAAATTTCTGAAAAGCGAGTTGAGGGTAAAACCACCTTAACAAGTATTACTGCAAAAACTAGTAGGATGAAGGGACAAACAGATCATGTTTTGAGCGTCACACCATATAAAGGTTTCCAACAGGCATCTTTAGAAAAATTACATGGATGTAGTTGAGTTTGATGCAATGCACCTTTTAAGTGCTTCTTTTCTTTTCTTTTCTTTATTAAAGGCTGCTTGGTAGCATCTTTATAAAACATATTTTTACGCAACAAGAACCACAATCTTGATTAAATTTAAGTTGGAGATTCTATCATTTTATTTGAAGCAAGCATTCACAGGATTATAGCGGCACAGGCGAGAGTCAGAGACAAGAGCAAAGCTCTAGCCAGCAAACCAAACTACAGAACCTGTTGCCACATAGATAAAGAAAATTGAGTCACTTTAGAGCAAGGAATAAATTGTTCAGAATTTTTAAAGTAAAAGCTACCAAAGCTATTTGTGATATTGCCAGGTGCTGAGAAAACCAGATAAGTGATAGTAACATCTAACATCAGGTCCATACTAAACAGCAAGGTGTTATTGATAATGATAGGGACACAAAGGTTTCCTCATTATGGCAGAAAACAAATGAAGTGAATATCATCTTTTATTAACATGTTAACACCACATGATTGAGTCAAAACAGAATGCTCTAAGGTAAAAAGGAAAGAGGGCATTTAAAATCATTTACATGCAAGAATTTTATTTCAATTTGAAAAAGTATAAGTTGATACATTTAGCCCAAAGGACTTTTCAGAGTAAAAAAGCCACCATGACTACCTCAGCTAAAAGTCAGCTGCAGCAGTCCCTTGACTAGATCTTCAAACAAAACTAATTCAAAAAATGACCAAGGTAAATAAAAGAAAAAGAACAAACAATTAAAGTGGAATTTAAAATGCTTTAAAACAGCAGACCATTCAAAGATGGACACAATACAGGTTGCAATAATTAAAACAAGTGTTGACACTTGAAGTACAGTCTATATACTTCTGATCAAAGCCTGCCAATTTCAATTCTCTAGAGTATTATGCAAAAAGTATTCTACAAAGGAATATAGAGACAGACACAGATTTCCTTTTTTTTGCACATTGCTTGTGTAATACTTTTAAATGTGTAAAGACATACTCTGAAGATGATTCTATACACATAAGAGATGATGTTTCTGTGCATTCTAATAAAAAATTGTTCTGAGCTTATAAATCAAAATTATCTCACTTGGCAGTATAGAGATAGAAAAAGAGATTGTTTTTCCATGCATCAGGAACACATCTGACTCAGACGAAAGCTGGTGACATAAGCAGGAGCCAATCACCAGGGGGTGTTACACTCGAGTCATAATTCAATAATTGACAAGGCTAGGACATACATCAAACAGCATAACAAATTAAGATAAGAAAAATCGAACAAAAGAAGTTGGAAAAAAGGTGAGGAAAGCGCTAAAGGTCAGTCATTTAAACCTTCCTCGTGTCAGAACATTTATACAAAGAAGGCACAAAGTACAGATCTCTGCTGTGTTGTATCAAATCCTAGCCTATCGATAAAAAGCTCCCAGTCAAAAACTGAATGGAGCAGAAGTGTGTTCAAAACTTCACTTTGATCTTCTAAGGAACAGACGTCATTTAACAGTTATCAGGATAATGCCAACCAGGATTGCCCAAAAATAAAAGGAGAAATGCATTGCTGCCAAACATTTACTCTTTCACATCACTGAAAGAGCTCTAGGTAGGTAATCTGATCTAATATAGCAATATTAAGGCACTGCGATACTCAGGGGACTTTAACACGAAAGCAAAATCAGCTCATCAAAACCCATATTAAAACATACTTGTAGCAAGTTTTACACGCTCACTACTTTGTAATGAACAATGTTAACTACCCTTTCAATAAAAACATCTTTCTCTCTCTCTTTCTCCACAAAGAGACATAACAAGTAGGACAACTACACAACATAAAGAGATTGTTTGGTGCACCAATTTCTCCACGGACATAAGTCTTTTCAGTTGAACTTAACACCACAATCTAAAATAATTTATGATTTAAAGTATCAGTGGAATACTGTCATAAAATTGGCTGATAATAGCACACCTTCAAATAGTCTCAAAAAATTTAACTACCAGGAAAAGTCGTTAACATAAATGAAGTGAGGTAAGTAATGATGGTTTGCAGCTGTCAGGACAAACGTAATGCTAAAAAGTAAGGCAAATTTTACTGAGGTAGAATACAGCAGCTCTCAACACTTATCAACTTAAACCCGCCAAAACTGTTAATTCAGTGTGTTCTTTAAATGAAAAAGTCCTTCCCGTAAAAGAAAGGTTGGCACATTTAAAAAAAATAAAAACATTGCTGTCTAGGTCGAAGAAAATTTTCAGCCTTCAGAAATTTACCAAGTCACAAAAAAGAGAGAAAGAAAGGGGGGAAAAAATAGTTTCTACTTATTCTTACTCGATAAAAAAATACTTATAACAATATAACAACAATATCTGAATAATCACAAAGAAGCAGCAGACACACCACAATTGATTCCGCTCACACCAAATTAAGGACACGACAGATGTGAAAGGTGTGCACAGGTTGCAACAAGCTTGCAAATGACCCGAATATGTACACAAAAAAATTTCTTATATACACAAATATCACTTTTTTTCAGAGCTGAACACATTCTGGCTTCACATAGGTAGTCTGCAAGTCATGCTGCTGCACTGCATTGTCTTTTCTGCATCCCAACACACCTACCCACACAACACAACACGCACACCACTTGGTTCGTCTGCATGTAGGGCGTGGCGCGTAGCAGCGTAGCGTAGCAGGCTGGTTTGCTCTGAGGTGGTGTCGGGGCCGGTGCCTGCCTGCCGGACGGGAGGGCCACAGAGCGCAGAGCCAGCGACCCAGCATGGCAGCGGCCCATTGGCAATGGCGATCCATTAGGTCCTGAACGCAAGCAGAGAACACTGCCTGTCAGATGTGTTCAGTGCCACCAGCCACACCGACAAACCAACCCTCAGAGCAGGGACCACCAGTGAAAGCCTTGCTTGCACAAACTCCAAAAAAAAAAAAAAAAAAATCTTTCTTAATATTTTATTTTAAAAAGTAAAGTAAAAACAAAAAGAAAAGAGCTTCTACAGATGATTTATTCCTTTCCTTTTTCTTTTTCTTTCTTTTTCAACATTTTACCAAAGCAGATGATGCTGTCAACGACACAAGGAAGACTTCTGCATCTCACACTTAGATTTCACAGAGTATCGCATGAAGCAGTTATTCCAAAGTACACATCCATCATAAATAACATGATCAGTGCAGAACGAAAAATATGTTCCGTTCATCAATGTAAAAATATTGCACTATTTTTCGCACTGAACGTGTTAATGAAGGATTACAAAACATGAGCAGCGTGCACCATTCAAAATATTAAGAAATAACAGCAATGCATTTCTACACATAGTGAAAACTTTATGGGAAGGAAGTACAAATGAGATGCACAATGAGTTAAGTTTTAAATTAAGATAAAAAAAAAGAAAAGAAAAAAAGAAAAGAAGCAATACATCTAAGTCAAAGTCTCAAAGAGCATTCTTTATATTAAACGTAACAGCAAAGCTTTCACAATGGTCTCTGTTCTTGAGGATGATGTTAACACAATAAACCACAAAGGTAAAAAAAAGGGGGAAAAAAAAGGAAAAACCCTTCAACAATCAAAGCATTATAAACCATTAAGTTAAATCATTGTGCATCTCCATGACCAAATCTACAACTAATGCTGCCTGCGTTGTCAGTTTTTCTGTTGCCCTAGACGCGTAGATGGAAACATCCTCTGAGAAGTCGATTTTTTCACATTCTCACTTCATGCACTTCGTTCAGTTCTTGAAAGGAAAAGAAAACCTGCATTCCCACAAAGAAAAAGAATGCCACTGTAATGATACTTTAACTTAATGGTAAATTGATATGCTACCAATTATAGAAGACAAACGCGTCACAACTCTACAATCACAAAAGAAAATTTTATCACATTATTGCTCCAAACATTATCCAAAGGAAAAGTTTGTTGGAATAAAACTTTATAATCTTCCTTCAAGATAAGGAAGTGGGTAAAAAAAAAAAAACGAAAAAAAAAAAAAAACAGCTCCCAAAAGACCCTTTTCTCTACCTAAAAGACATTTTGTCAAACCATAAAAGGGAACTATGTCAGATGTAAGAACTGTCTTGAACTATGCAACCATGACTGGCCTCACATTATTTCAGGGGGGACAGACGGGTCCTGGACTATAGCCTGAAAGTTAGTTTAGTGTAGGGGAGCTTTTGTATATTGGCATATAAGGACCACTTCATACTTTCGGTGGGAAAGTACGGTGGCAAATAAAAAGCAGTGTAGAAAGTTAAGATGGGCAAGTGCTTTCAAACCACATCTCAATCTAGCTGACTCATTGAAATGTCTGGTATGAAAATGAGAATTACAGCACAAAGTTGTGTAGCTTAATGAGGCAGACCGGACTGTCAACCACAGAAAGTCTTAAAGCAACAGATACTGAGTGACAAAACTTACAATTCTGACAAAAATTCGGTTTTGTTTTGTTTTGGCTGAAATTTTTAGTGACTAGCTAAGTAGAAACAAATGCAATGCCTAGGCCTTATATGCCAAATGATGGGATCACATGGCTTAATCTTGCTTGACTTTGGAGGGAACTGATGTGTGCTACTATAAACTTCCCTTGGAGATAGAGAAACAATTTAGAAACTATACTTGGTAATATTGTGAAGCATTTTAACTCTGTGCAAATGCAACTTATTACAAGGAAAAAAAAAGCAAAATTAAGGAAAGCAAGATTTTCCAGTGTGACAAAAGGGTTATGCCTTGCCATGCATCTAAGATACTTCTAATCACACGCGTCTCTCAGATACATGAGTTAGTGAGCTCTCAGCATCAGCCTCAGCCTACCATAATGAATTGTCCACAAAAAACCAACAGCCAAAAGACTTGACACTACAAATTAGAAGGGAATATTTCCAGAATTAGGGTTTAATCAAACTGAGATGTTGATCAAGGAAATGAGATGATTTAGGTATTCAATACCTATGCACATCTGGCAAAAGATAGGTATTCCACAAAAATGAAACAAAAAATGAAAAAAGAAAATCTGTTGGCTATTGAGTTTAAGTAGGGGAAAGTTGGTAAAGTTGCAGTCAAAATTTGAATAACACTCACCGCTTGGAGAATCTTGACGATAGCTTAGAAAAGAACGATGATGTGCGGCCATGAGGGATGGCAGAGGTATCCTGCGACTGGAGAGGGGAAGCACCATATGCCGACACAGACCCCGTGTGATTTCTGGGCCGGTTCTGACCACTGTGGAACGTCGATCGGCTTGGCACATTTCTAGGGAAAGGTTGCTGAGCTCGGTTGCCAACAGCAGGAGAAACGGGAGGTCCTCTGGTGACCACACTGCTGTAAGCACACAAGCAAACACATTGTCAATTAAGAAAATGAATGGAGGTCATGAAACATAGACAATCAGCTAAATCAACATGCAAGGTGTAATTTACAGAGTCCTCTCTACAGGCATCACCTGCAACTGTGTAACCACACATAGATGCTACATTTCAATTCACTTTCAACTGATTATTTTCAATGAAGAGCCATTCACACTTTCATCCCTTATTTCAATCAAAGACAATAGAGGGTAGGAAAGGAAAGGAAGGAAAGGAATAGGAACCAAATGTTTTTAACAGCTAGGCAAAGTGCAGCCATGTGATACTCCTGCAGCTGACAAAGAACCACTTTGCCTTTTCTATGCCAAGCACTGATTACTTGACAATAAAACCAGAAAAATATATAGAGCAAACATATATGAAAGTAGACTAAAGAAAAGAAAAGCCTGTAGAGGTAACGCTCCTAAAATTTTCACCTACTTCTACCACATGAGTGAGACTTCCTTGAATACAGCCAATATACCAAAATACTTGAGATGTCAAGTTCAGAAAATTTCTACACTTCTAAACATGCAAATAAATGAGTAACAATATGAAACATAACTGATAAAAAAGTACTGACTTCACTGTCAAAGAATAAGACATCTGTTTCGATTCTTTTAAAACATGAGAACTCTACAAACAACATAGATACTTCTTTCATACTCTACATGTTCTGTTTATGAACAGGACAACCAGATCAAAAAGCTACAGTTATTAATTCAAGAACTACACATTTTATGGTACAGAAGTTCAACTCTGCCCTAACTACAAAAATAATAGCATTCATTTTTTTGAAAGCTGGGTTGCAAAGCAGCGCAATGTCTCAGAGCAGAGCAGAGCGCAGCATACTACCTTTGCCTTAAGGTATCAAGAGTTTGGTCAAGGTTCGAGTGGTCGGTTCGGCCGGAGGTTGAAATGCTGGCAGACTTGATATGCCCCTTCACAGAACGGTTGACAGAAAGGCTGTCGCCCGCCCCCTGTCCGCTACAAACAAGACGGCTCATGTCAGGGACAAAGCGTCACACACATCATGGGTAGGGTAGGATAGGTTTTATAAAAGCTGGGCTCACGGCCATGCGCCATGCCCAAACATTCCCGCAGAGAACTGTTATTAGACTTGATGCTCGAAAAAGTTAGTGTTTTAAAACAATTGAGGTTGACAGAAAAGTTTCCTTCAATGTAATATATACTTTACAGGGAAGTGCGTACTTGGGTGCCTCAACAGGAGACATTTCAAAATGAGATATGCTCCAGTATTCCGAACAGAGCCACAGTAAAGCATGTACTACATTCTAAGAAATGTCAATACTTGTCACTCTCCCATTCTGCTACTATGGAGTGTAAAAGTGATTGTAAGAAATGGAAATTTTACTAGTGATAATTGTCTAAGTTACGATAGATGTTGAAAAGGCAAATCATATCACATGACAGTAAATAAAAGTAAAATTAATTAAGATTTAAAAAAATGTCAAAGAAAAGAGTTGGTCACAGTCCTCAGCTAAGCTAAGAAGCCGTGCCAGGAGAGACCAAATGTGTACAGCAAGATCTTGAACATGCAAATGGTGCCTGCCTATCGAATTCTGACAATAGAGTCCATGCCAAAAAAATAAGACTGAAGCTAAAGTTTCTTTTTTCTTTGATGGTTGTTAAGTTTTGTGGTGTTTAAATGCTTTCTCTTCCCTGACCAACATCTCATTAACAGGGTGCCTGGCAAATTCCTAATTCTGAGCTTGTAAATGCTGCACATGATCTACGTCTGTCCTACGTTCAAATTACCACATTCTTCCTCTATATCGCACCTTTTTCTCCCCTTTTGAAGCCTTCTCAGGCCTTCAAAGCGAGGCTGGCTTAAATTAGCATGCTGTAGGAATAATGAGAGTAATAAGAGAAATAAATAATGGCATACGAGGTATCTAAAGACCGGAAAACTCACTTATTGCAAAGCAGGGTGTGTGAAACCTAAATTACAAATAAATTGCCAGGTTCTCTTTTTTCTTTTCCTTTTTGTGTGTGATTTGTTTGCTCATAGGATGTTGTATGTGGTCAGGAAAGAGTGACGTTAAGTGTAATAAGGTCAAAACCTTACCTAGGAGTTTCTGAAGACGCATTGCTCTTGTCGTCAAATGATGGCTTGTTAGCATCATAAATGCTGCGTCTACCAACAGACCCAGCAGATTCCAATTTTCTGTTACCCCCTGACATGGTACTTGATTTATATCCCATTCTGGGTTTGCCAGGACTTGCTGCACTACCTAAAAACAAGGAAATTACTTAAGAACTCACATGAAACTGAATGACACGATAAAAATAGAGGTCCAAGGTGACTTACTTGAGTCTACAGGCATATTAGTTGAATTCTTAACTGGGGTTGGTCTTGTTGCAGCTGATGCAGAATTAATTCTAGCAGTGTTTTCTTTGATGGTGGCAGAATCAACTGTGTTTTGTCGTTTGAAGTTAGAAGTAGTTGAATTGTGGTTGTGGTTTGAAGAATTTGGCGTTCCTGCTGGTACACCTGGAAAACAAAATCAAAGTAAGTTGGGGTATTCAATATCTTCCGAGAGGGGTAAATCAGCATGAAATAGATCATAACACTTAATAAATCAACAATTGAAATGCACACAAAGAAATGCAATAACAGATACTAAAAACACCAAGACAACAACGACAGCCAGATCTAAACTTGGTGAGAGATTCAATGAAGGAGGTATGGGTATGGGAAGAGAAAAGTGTTTTTTTTTTCCTCTTCAATGCTTTGAATATGCACAGATATCTACTACAGTGATTTAAGGAAAGCCTATATGACATAAGGCTTTCTCATGCTTTCATGTAAGTAAGTTTGATGATAGCGCCCCCCCACAAAAAATGGACTTGGAGATGCCATTGCCAACCCCTGAGCTACCAACATTCAGGACAGGAATGAAAGAACACAAAAATGCAGGAAGATGTGCAAATACCAATACAGAACATGCTCACATCCACTATAGACCAGGACAGAAGCTTCATTTAGTTTAGGACAGACAAAAAGAAACAGAAAGGGTGACGACACATGATACAATCAAAGGCATTGAATGATTGCAGACTCAGATAACCATTTAAATACGTACTAATAAACAGAACGGTGACATAAAAGGTTCTAGAAAACAGAAGCACTGGTCTTAATATTTGAGCAAAATATGTTCTGCATTTTCTAGAATAAAGTGCCAAGGTGAGCCCAAGAAAAATGGTGCAAATAAGTGACACAGGCCTGTCTAGTGCATTGAGAGTACCACAGCAAGACAGCGTGGTAACGTCTAAGCCAAGACCGGCTAGTCTGGCTGGCTTGTCTAATCTAGAGTCCTAAAGTGGAATCTAGGGAAGAGCTCGATGTAGAAAAAAAGGGGTTGGGGTGCCAACCGCAGGCATAGGCATAATCTAGAGCGAAGGAAAGTGTTTGATTCAAGGGCAATAGATAGGTGGGGAGGCTAGGCAAGGCATGGGGCGGTGCGAGGCCGGGTGGACATGGACTAGGTGACAAGGACGGTCACGTGACATGGCCGGTCCGAGTGACATGGTCCAGGGCAAGGCCTAAGGTCCAGACTAGGGCCATGCACGGGGCCATGCGCGGCACGCGATTCGCACGCGATTTGCACGCGATCTGCGCGACTAGGACGAGCAAAGATGCCAAGATGCCAGGCATGAGGCGAATCCACGCAAATCCCACCACCTGAGGCTGTCCCTGTTGTCGCACTGTTTGCACACGCCGGCTGGGCCTGAGCGTGCGCGTGCGACTCACGCAAGGTTTCCCCACCGGACGAGGCCCTCCTGCTGGGCTTGGCGTTGGTGGCCGAGATGGAGCGGTGCACGCCCCGGTGCACGTGCGAGGGCGACTGCGCGTTGCCTGACGACACGGCGCCGGGCGGAAGGTTCCAAAGCGACAGCGAACTGCCCGACCGCGACCCATCGCTCTCCGGCTGCAATCAGGGCAACGACATCATTAGGACATCATTTCAATTTACCACCCTAATCTGCCTCAGATGTACTTACGTCTGTGTTTTTCCGCCCTAATAAGAGGTAGGTGGCGAAGACGTCATCGTATTTTGCTTGTGCCAGGCTGTCTTCAATCTCGCTTCGACTGTATCCCATACCAACAAGTGCTTCTGTAAACAGATGTAAGGAAGAACCGATTACTGCACTTTCAACCCAGGTAGATAAATAAGTCCAAAAAAGCACAGTATGATACAAAGAAAAGCAGTCTCTAAGAATTATCATTGAAGAATACACATTTGTTACTGAATACAAAAAACCCAATAACAAATAATGTAATGAATGTTTGTTGTATTAAAACTTATAATACACCAGACAATAAGATACTGATGACCATGAAGCAAACGCACACACACAAACACAGCATACATACACACACTCTTTTTCTCCAAGAAATCATTAAAATTTGATTGAGGTGGTTCAACTAATATTAGTATTTTTAAGAGTTACTGTATTGTGACTTTAATAAACACGCACACATCTAATTCTACTTCTAAAACACTACTTAGTAGTAAGTTAAAGATCAAACCTGATGTCATACCTATCCTCTTCAAGTCCTTGAAATCTGGTTCTGGTTCTAAGTACGGTTTGAGTTCATCTTCTTCATAACCCAAATTCATCCATTTGTCTTTCATAATTGTCTGAAAAGGTAAAAGAAGAATGAGAACAAGTATTTACAGACTACAAGAGTCACACACCCCAAATTGCATTGTAAAATTGTTAAGACAAATTTACAAACTATGCAGACATAACACAGTGCAGACAAAACACAACTTTCAAAACAATATTATTTTTTTAGATAAGGGGAAGAAAAGGCTGGTGCAATCTTACATATGTACAAACAACAATAACAAAAGTAATTGACCATGCTGATAATGACTTTTTAGGATCAAATATCAGATTTATTTGTGCACAGATGTTGAGCAATGAATGTACTCATGCATGAGTGAATGGCTCACACAATAAAAACAAAGGAAAGAACAAATCTACTTTCAAGAAGTGTGGCCATATCTCAAAAGTATAAATAGAGAACTCATTGCATTAATAAATATGACATCAAACCAAGACAAACACAAAGCATGGTACGTGTATACTGAAGCACCACATGGAGCCATCAATAGTTTTTGTTAATTGTTTTAGTACCTGAGTAGAATTTACCTCTAATGACGCCCTCTTGGCAGGGTTGAGGACCAGAAACTTCTTTAAGAGGTTCTCACAATCTGTTGACATGTAGAATGGAATTCGGTACTTCCCTCTAAGTACTCGTTCCCTTAGTTCTCTCAAGGTGGTGCCATCAAAGGGCAGGGACCCACTGACAAGGGTATACAGGATAACCCCAAGTGACCAAACATCAACTTCTGGACCATCATACTTTTTGCCTGAAAAATCAATCAAACCAAGTTAAAAACTCAACGAACAATTGTGACCGAAGAAAAAACAACTTTGAAACCAAAGCCACTAATTAATTAGAATTCCATACCTTGAAACAATTCTGGCGCAGCATATGGTGGACTTCCGCAAAATGTATCCAATTTGTTACCAGGTGTGAATTCATTGCTAAACCCAAAATCGGCAATTTTGATGTTCATTTCACTATCAAGAAGTAAATTTTCAGCCTTGAGGTCTCTGTGAATGATCTTTTTTTGATGACAATACTGAACTGCAGATACAATCTGAAAAGACAAACAACATGAACAAACAAGAACACAATATTGCACTAAATTGTACATTAGGGGTAAACACTAACCTGCCGAAATTTAGCTCTTGCTTCCTTTTCCTTCATTCTCCCATGGAGAACTAAGTAATCAAACACTTCTCCTCCACTTGCATACTCCATCACCAGGTACAGAGTTTTCTCAGTTTCAATGACTTGAAATAGTTTAACTATATTAGGATGGTCTAACATTTTCATTATTCTAACTTCCCTAAAAAGCTGTAACAAATAAGAAAAATTAACAAATGTGGCTCTTGCAAGATGAATAAGTGCTGAAACAGCTGGAGAGGTTACATTAATCAGCATGTCCAATTAAAAGGCTCTTTACCTTTTGTAAACTGCCAGGATTTAGTTGTGTCTTGTCTATAATTTTTATTGCTACCTGTAAACAAATGCACACATTAAAAAATCTTACGTCTTTTCACTAATCAACAAATAAAAACAAATTTACGGCGAACCTCACCTCCTTCCCCGTGGGAATATGCTTGGCCAATTTAACCTTGGCAAAGTTGCCTTTGCCGATGGTCTTGAGCAGTCGGTATTTGCCGATGTGGGGTTCGTCTGAGGTGCGGCTCCTTGAGGAGGGCGTGCGGCCACCGCCACCGGTGCTCTCCCCGCCCTGCAACACCAAGAGGAGCGAGACGGTCAGGGCGACGCCAGGGCAACAAGGCGGCGGACTTGAGCGGTACTAGAGGGAGTACGCAAAACTTCGGCATTCCGCCCTCGTTACGACAGTCGTGTCACAACAGCGAGCCGCACAACCACAAAACCGGCCGCCCACTCACACAAGCGCCGCGTTTGACGTCACAAACCAATCACACACACATGCACACACACACACACATACACACACTCGCGCGTGCGCGCCCTCGCCTGCTCTCGATATATCGTCGACTGTCTGAAACGCTCCGAAGCGGCGAAACCAAACAGACCACATTGGCAAGATACCGTCGACGCCGACGCCGCGGGGGCTGCCATTGCCATTCATTTCCACGGGCGACTTGGGCAAAGCGGACCAAACAATCCCTCCGCACCAACGTGCCGCCTCGGCACTCGTTTTCTCCTCCTGCCCGTTCTTCTCCTCCTTCTCGGAGCAGCAGTGTCGTGTTCGTGTCCACGCGCCGACCCCGTCAGACCGGGGCAGGTCAGTCCCTCAACAGGTGGGCCTGCCTGCCTGCCTGCCGCGACGGGTAGGACCGGTGTAACCGCGGACCGGTGCACCGGTCCCCGTGGGTATTGGACCCTCACGGCGGCGGCCCTCGCGGCGGCCGCACCCAGAGCGGCAGGGAAAGGCAACAGGCAAAAGGCAAGGCACCCGAACACACCTGGAACCCACGGACCACGGAGTGCGGAGCCGCAGGGCGATGCAGACAGGCAGAACAGTTGGCCAAACTGCTACACGACTGAACGGCGTCTAGCGTCCGCTACCCGAGCCCTGCCACTATTCGCCAAAGACAAAGACGGCAAGCGACGCGTCGCGGAACGACAAATTTACGCCTACTGCCTCAATTGGACTTCCCCCTCCCCTCCCCGCCGGTCGGCGTGCACGCTGTGTACCCGCCGGCCGGCCGGGCCTGAGAGGGGCCCCCTCGGGGTAGAGCGCGAGCACGGCCTGGAGAAGGGCACTCCGCACTCCCAGCGCAACGCCGAGGCTGCCGGGGCTGCCGGGGCGGAGGGCGGATGCGTACGGCAGCGCGGCTGGAGGCTGGACCGGGCCTCGCACCGGACTGGACGCAAGGGCTTGCGACACACCGCGGCGCTGTCGACACCGCCCAGCCCAGCCAGCCCAGCCCGTCATCTTGACCGCCGTCATTGTAATCAACAAGGCCGGCCGGCGCGGCGGACAATGGCTGCCCCTCCCTTTCACCCATGCACGCACCGCGCACCGCGCACCGGGACCGCGGCCGAGGCCTGGGGCCGAGCCAAGGTCGACGCCATGGCTACCCCGCCGGGCCGGGCCGGGCCGCGGCGCAGAGTCACTTTCACTCGGCTCGTCGCAGCACTGGCACAGCCTCAGCGCACCCACCGTTGGGGCGCCGGAGGCCGGGGCCGAGGCCCGCATGGAGGCCGTCCTGGACGTCGACTTGGCCGCCGTCCGCGCCGAGGAGAAGGTCGACGAGGCCGTCGTCGTCGAGGCGAGGCCGGAGACGCGCGACGGCGGCGGCAGGAAGGCCGAGGCCACCGGCAGCGCGGCAGACGTCCCCGACGCCGGGGACCGGACCGGCGACACCGCGGACACCGAGGGCATGTGGGCGCTCTCCACCCACATCATGGTGGGCGTCACGGCGCCGCCGCGCCCTCGGTCACACTCGCTGCACCACTCGGTCAACAAGGCACTGCACTGCACAGCACTGCACACGCGCGGCGGGGCGCAGGGCCGCGGCCTGGCCCAGTGTTCACTTCACACCGTGAACGCGTGAACGCGGCGAGCGACTGACTGACGCGGGGCGGCGGGACGCGGCGCGGCGCGCACCAGGACACGCAGCGCGCAGCGGCCGGGAGGGGGCGGCGGGGCGGGCGGGTGACTCAGCCGTGCGACTGACTGGAAGGCATGGCTGGGCGGCTGGGCCCGGCTGGCTGGCCTGCCTCGTGGCTTTCTCTCTCTGCCGGGCCTGGAGGGGCCTGGAGGGGCCTGGAGGGGCACGGCCGGCACGGCACACGGCCCACGTCACGACCGTGCCACCGTCTGTGCCTCGGCCACCTTGGGCACCTCGGGCCGAGCCGAACGACCGTGCCCCCTCCCCGTCATCATCCTCCGGGACTTATCCAACAGTTCACCTGCCCGGCCCGAGCCGAGGCCCCAGCCATGCCCGTCCGCCATGCTCCATTTTCAAATGCGCCGTGCTGGTGACGGCCCGTGGACTTGTCCAGGCCGCGCCAGCGCAGCGCCGCCACCGGAACGCCCTATCCGGTTCGCGGGGTTATGCAAACGCCACGCCGATGAGTTTCGCGTTTCGCGGCATACACACACACACACACACTGACACGCAGTGCCACTCCTCGCGCCGCTCGACCCATTAGGACACATGGGCGGTATGGTGGGCAGCGCGGCTAGCGCGGCTAGCGACCGCGAGGACGGCACGGCAGCGGATGGGAGGGGGCCGCGGGGCCGCGGGGGGCCGGCCGGGCGTTGCGGTCACTTCCGGACGAGCGTGGAACGGGTTCCTCTGCAACCGGAAGCCGAGCCGGGAGGTAGGGGGCGGCCAGAAAGATGCATCTCGGAAATTAAAGACGGGCCCCACCAGCCGGGGCACAGCGCGGTCGACATCCGGGGCGCAGGGTCCGCCGCGCGAGCAGCAAGGGGGCCTTGTCCGCCGCGCCCCGCGCCTCCAGCGCCACCGTGGACGACGCGCACGGCGGTAGGCAAACCGAAAGCTCGCCCGCTGCCGGGAATGGACTCGAGTCGGCAACTCCACTGCCAACTTGCAACTTGCGCGACGCGCAGGACAACGCCACTGTAAAGGTCACATCCCTCGCGGTGGGCCCACCCCACCCCACCGCCTCCCACCCTACCCCGCCCCACCCCAATCAATTCCATGCACGCCGAGCGCAGAGCGCAGCACTTTTGTTCCAAACCACTCTCGACAATACGTAGTGGCGCGGCTCGGCACTCCGCACCGCAGACACGCGAGTCGGTCCTCACCTGCAACAGAGAGAAAAAGACACCGTCAGCACGCCGCCAAATAACGGCCAAAAACAAAGACAGAGACATTAGTTTCTCGGGTGCGGGGTAACGCGCCATCGCCCATCGGCCCGGGTAAGAAAGCTCGGAGGCGCGCCGCGGAAAAAGTAATCAAGGCGGCGGGCAAGAGGGACGAAAAAAAGAATGGAAAAGAAAAGAAAATAATAGAGAAGAAACAGGCACCCCCCGGCAATGCGCGGCGCGACGCCAGGGCTGGGCCGGGCCCGACCCGAGGGAAACTCACACAGCAGCCAACGCCGAAAGGCGAAAGGATTCCGCGGCCGCGGCACCGCCGCGGGGCGGGCACGAGGGACAGGAGGATAACCCGCGGCCCAAAGTGGGAAACGCGGCGCCGTCCACGCCCACGCGCACCCACACCATTATCGCTCTTAATTCTATTAATATTGTTTCCCCGACGAGAGCTGGCCCGCCGCGCCAGCGCGCCGGCACCTTGCCACCGCGCTTATCAGCGCGAGAGAGACAGGCGCCGGGGCCCTTATCAGCAAAAGCTCTTTTCACGCGGCGGCGTGGCAGCCGGCGCAGCCAGCGCAGCCCGCCGACACGCCACTGACGCATCACCTGCACCGCCCGGCCGCCTGGCGCCCTTCAAGATTATCTTGTCCTATGTTGTTATTGGCCACCTTTTTGGTTAAAAAAAAAATTGCAAATGTAGTTGTCTACACTGTGAAACCAAACGTGGACAACTCCACACTTCCTGGTGTGGAGTAAGTCTCCACACTTGGAAGTGCAGAGTTAGCAGCCTCCACACTTCAAGTGTGGAGCAGCTCACATGGCCCCTATCTCTTAGCATGGTGCAAACGTGGACAACTCCACGTTTGAAGTGTGGAGACTGCAAACTCTGCACTTCCAAGTGTGGAGACTGAAAATTCCGCTCCTCCGCATTTCAAATGTGGAGTTGTCCACGTTTGGTTTTACAGTGTAAACATTACAATTGGCCAATATTTTATTAAATTCCTCAGCGGCGCAGCGCGGCGTTCTACACACTGGAAAGAATGATTTGTCCGCGGCAAGCCGAGCGGACAGTTTCCAGAAAAGCCGGTGTGCCCACCATCTTTCTCACCCTCGGGAGGATTTAATAAAAAGGAAGAGAAAGAAAGCAGCCAACTATATAAGCCGCCGCTGCCGCCCCGCCTGTCGCCCCTCACCACTGGAGCCAGAGCCGCCGGCTGGAACCGTTTCCACGCGCCATCAGGCTGTCGGGCCGCACGAGTGGCGTTCAAATATTGCCGCCAAATGGCCCTGCCTCGGCCCTGCCCCCGCCTGGTCCGTCCGCGCCGTCTGCGCCGCGCCGCCACGCCCCCGCCACCCCCTGCGGGGCGCAGCGGCACAGCGGCGCAGCCTCGGACGAGCCCAACCCGGCCCTGTCCAGGTGGAGCCAGAGCCAGGCCTCGCATGCCCCGCAGGGTCAACCCGGCCGCGCCGCGCCTCGCCGCCGTGCCGTGCGCGCCAAGCACTTGTTTGTTTATTAATAAGCTGGCCTGAAATAGCCGCGAGCACGCGGCCGGGGCGGACACGGCCGTGCAGACATGCCTTAATGAGACGGCGAGGGCACGGCACGCCACTGCAAAGGACACAGGCGGGGCAAAGCCTATACTCTGACCAGAGAACGAAGAGCCCTGGGTCCTCGCGGTCGAGGGCTGCCTGCAATGCTAGCCAAGGCGGCAGATGCCATAAACCGCGAGAACACAGGGCTCTTCGTTTTCTGGTCAGAGTATACTTCGCAAAGCCCTTCCGCCGACTCACAACCCTTCCGAATCGCTTCGGTCGGGCCGGGGGACGGGCCCCACTTTCCGCGAGGCCATGCTGAGTGAGGGAGCTGACGGCGCAGCGCGCAGCCCCGCCGGACGAGGGCGACGTGGGGGTGGCCCGGTGGGGCCCAGTGGGCCGGGCCTCGGCCGGGTAGGCCAGGCCGCCTC